GACAGCTTGAGGCTCTGTCTCAAAAAAAAAAAAAAAAAGAATGGAAGAAAAAGTATCCAATGGACTCAGTCTTACTATGAAACCAATTTATAGCTTTCTTATGAAAGCTATAACCCAATTATAGCCCAAGAAGAAGGGGAAAGGGGTCAGGGAGGGGAGGGGGAAGGATGAGTGGAGGGAGAGTAATTGGTGGGACCACACCTACAGTGCATCTTACAAGGGTACATGTGAAATTTACTAGGTGTAGAATATAAATGTCTTAACACAATAACTAAGAAAATGCAGTGAAGGCTGTGTTGACCAGTTTGATGAAAGCATTTTAAATTGTATATAAAACCAGCACATTGTTCCCCATGGTTGCATTAATATACACAGCTATGATTTAATTAAAAATAAATAAATAAATAAAAAGCAGAATCACCACCAAAAAACACAAAAGGGGCGGCACCTGTGGCTCAGTGGGGTAGGGCACCAGCCCCATATACCAAGGGTAGTGGTTCGAACCCAGCCCCAGGCCAAACTGCAACAATAACAACAACAAAAATAGCTTGGCATTGTGGCAGGCACCTGTAGTCCTAGCTACTCAGGAGGCTGAGGCAAGAGAATCGCCTAAGCCCAGGAGTTAGAGGTTGCTGTGAGCTGTGATGTCATAGCACTCTACTGAGGGCAATAAAGTGAAACTCTGTCTCTTAAGAAAAAGAAAAAAGCACAAAAGTACAAAAAAAAATGGCATCAATTAAGCTGTACACGAGATACTTGTTTATAGTATAAAAATTAAAACAAAGCAGAGCATCACTTACTTTCAACCTCAGGTTGGAACATGGGGACTTAGGTGACTCAGATTTTTTACTGCTCTGCGTATATCCAGGAAAGCACTAGCATTTTTTACTGCTCTGCATATGTCCAGGAAAGCACTAGCAAATGTTGACTTTTGGGTTACATGGTAACCCATTATGAAAGTCATTATGAAAGTTTTGAGATACACAAAAATCAAGAAACATAAAATCCATGCAGTTGGTAACAAAGGAAGCCCTCCTAGCAACACCAAGCCACGCAAGTTGAAACTTGCACAGGTGAATCAGAAAGGACACTTGTCCATAGTGTTTTTTGTAAGTGAAATAATGGACCGTAACATAGTCTGTCTCAAAACTTTGTAGTGACCCACGTACAAATAAATTTTAATAAGTAGACAAGATTAGCAAATACAGACCCTGTGAATAATGAGGAGCAATTGTATCAATTCACTCTCTTCTTGAATTTTAAACTCACTCCCTAACAATGAACTTTTCCTAGTTGGATAGTTTTAATGATTATATTGCTACAATCTGCCTCCTGTTATTTCCAGTGATAGGTTCTAATTAGGCTTTCTGAACTGTCCTCCTTTCAGTATACTGTATACTTAAAGTCACCGGTCTGATGCCTGCCTTTACTCCATTTTTTCCCCTCTCTGGTAAAGATTCCTACTTTCTTTGGAAACTTTTCGTTTGCTAGGCACTTGAGTGATTTAAGAGAATACTGTTACAAACAATGTCTCCTTCTGTGTTATACCTTCCCCAACAAAAATTGCACTTCCTATACACTCACTGCCATACTTCAGTGCACTGCTTCAGTTAAATTATTCAGATTTTCCAGGGTGAGAAGATGAGGCAAGGAAAATGTTATGGATAATATAACTTTAAAAATACAGAAAATTCTGATTCCATATAAAATGAAGTACTATATTTTCCAGATCTTTAAAGTATGACAGTGGTGCTTGAATAGGGATTGCATTATATTTGTACATTGCTTTGGGTAGTATGGACATTTTAACAATGTTGATTCTTCCCAGCCATGAGCATGGTATGTTTTTCCATTCGTTAACATCTTCATCTATTTCTTTTCTCAGAGTTTCATAGTTCTCTTTATAGAGATCTTTCACATCCTTTGTTAGATAAATTCCCAAATATTTTGTCTTCTTTGGCAACACTGTAATAGGAATAGAGAGTCCTTGACTATTTTTTTCAGCTTGACTATTGTTGGTATATATAAAAGCTACTGATTTGTGAGTATTGGTTTTGTATCCTGAGACACTGCTGTATTCCTTGGTCACTTCTAAGAGTTTTGTAGTTGAGTCCCTGGGATTTTCCAGATATAGGATCATATCAGCAAAGAGTGAGTTTGATCTCCTCTGACCCTATTTGGGTACTCTTGATTGCCTTCTCTTGCCTGATTATGATGGCTGAGACTTCCATTACAATGTTAAATAGCTGTGGAAACAATGGGCAATCTTGCCTGGTTCCTGATCTGAGTGGAAATGTTTTCAGTTTTACTCCATTCAATATGATATTGGCTGTGGGGTTGCTGTAGATGGCCTCTATCAGTTTAAGAAATGACCTGTCTAAGCCTATTTTCTTAAGTGTTCTGATCATGAAAGGATGATGGATATTATCAAAAGCTTTTTCTGCATCAATTGAGAGAATCATGTGGTCTTTGTTTTTTTATTTTGTTTATGTGATGTACTATATTTATAGATTCATGTGTGTTGAACCAACCTTGAGACCCTGGGATAAACCCAACTTGGTCAGGCGACACCTGTGGCTCAAAGGAGTAGGGCACCAGCTCCGTATACCAGAGGTGGTGGGTTCAAACCCAGTCCCAACCAAAAAAACTGCAAAAGAGAAAATAAAACTTGGTGATGGTGTATAATTTGTTTGATATGTTGATGGATTTTGTTTGCTAGGATCTTACTGAATATTTTTGCATCTATATTCATTAATGATATTGGTCTATAATTTTCATTCATTGTTGAGTCTTTTCCTGGCTTGGGGATCAGGGTGATATTTACTTCATAGAATGTGTTAGGAAGTATTCCTTCTTTTTCTCTGTTTTGGAAAATGTTATGTAATATTAGTACTAGTTCCTCTTTAAAGGTAAGCATTCCAAATTGTATATAAAAAATCAGCACATTGGCTCGGCGCCTACAGCTCAGCCGGCTGGGGCGCCAGCCACGTACACCTAGGGTGGCGGGTTCCAATCCCCAGCC